AGCACCTGCTTGTGGACTGACTGTGGGTGGGCACAGGATGGGAGGTGAGTGGCAGGTACATAATACCCCTGGAAGGACCACTGTCCTCTGCCTGCTCAGGTTGTCCCCTTGGCCTCTGGAAGGGCCAGGAGGACCAGCCACACTGGGGTTGGTTGCCGCTCAGGGGTGAACTCAGGTGGACCCACTGAAGCCCTTGTGCCAAGGGGTGCTTCTGAGGACACTGCTTCTGTGCAGGGTGACCTGCTCTGCTCCACTCAGCATTGCAGGAAAAAGGAAATGTCACTCCACAGCACGGTGGTGGAAGCCGAGGGCGTGCTAAAATGCCATGGTAAGCCACTTTCCTTAATGTCATCCCACTAGGCGATGTGAGGAAATGGCCACATACCAACATAAAGCCAGCCAGTCCAGGCAAAGTTCAGGACCAGCCCCAGCTTGGGCAACCTTGGCACTGGGGGTGGGGTGGGTGATGGATGGGAAGGGGAGAGGCAGCAGTGGGCTGAGCCACGAGCACCGGGAGAGAGCACCCCCAGAAAGGAGGTGAGGGAGCCGCCAAGCCAAAGTTGCCCGAGGCTTACCCTGGGCTCTTAGACATTGTGAGGTGGTTTTGTTGTTGTTGTTGTGATTATTTTGGAACTAATTCCCTCCATAGCTCCGAGTTTTTAAGCCCTGGGTATTTTTGAATGTTCTACATTTGAACATTTCCCATACTTTTCAACCATGAATAAATGCAGAGTGAGGATTCTGACATGAGAAAGTGGGGACAGCCCTGAAGCTGAATCCACCATGTGGCCAACAAGATGTGTGAAAAAATATCTATTTTGGGAGAAACAGTCTCAAGGTTTGGGCAGAATTCTGTCTGGAATCTTTCATTCTGGTGGAAGGGGATCATCCATCCTTGGTGATGTCCTCAGACATTGCTGTGTGTTTCTGTGGTTTGGGGACACAAGGATGTAAGCTCCTGGCAGGCAGGGGCCACGCCAGCCTTCCTCCCCACGGGGTCCCCAGCGCAGCTCCTGGCCCCAAGTGAGGAGGTGCCCACAAAACGGTTGATGAATAAATGAACCGATGAATGACCTGCTACTCCTTTACCCCAGTTGCTGTCTGGGCTTTGAGTCAAAGCAGGAGGGATTTTAAGAGAGAGAGAGAGAAAAAAAAGTGATATAAAGTGGAGAGCTATATGTGCAAAACAGGTGAAAAGTGAAAGAGCTCCTCGGAGTGTGTCTAGGGTCCAATCTCGGACACTTGAGAAAAGTAATCTGCAAGGCCGCGAACACGGACGCAAATGAGACCGCACAGGCAAAGGAACAATCATCATCTTTATTCATACACGCTGGCTTCCAAACTACAATTAATGTATCTAACAAAGCATATCATGCAAACGAAGAGAAGAGGTTATACAAATTGAGGAGAACAAAGCAGTGATGTCTACTCCATCTCATCTGCTGTCTGACCCAGTGCTACCCGACAGCTGCACGGCCTCTCCTCTTGTCAGGAGGCGCTTACACAGAAGGAAAAACCTCAGTCTCCATCTCGTCCTTCGTCCAAACTTGGGGTCTTAGGGGCTGGTTTTCAATTAACGATTTAAACATGGTATGTCTTTCACACAGAAAAAAATAAATCATAGAGCGACAGCAATGATTTCAAATGTTCCTGCTTATAAAAGATCTTCTGAAGGATGCGAATGGAAGGGATATGAGGTTAATGTTTAGAAAACCCTTAGGATGATTTTGAGTATTCTACTAAACCAACTTTTCAAGAAAAGGATCACAGTCTTCCGGGAAGAATGAATGTCGACAAAAATCTATAATCACAGGAATAGATACTCCTAAGTTAAGCAGAGATGAAGACATAGTTGTTTAATCAGAAAATATAAAGCCACCTTTTGTCTTATTTTAGAAAAAAAGGTTCTTATAAGGTGGACTTGATACCTATTTTCTGAAAAGTAGGTTTCTGTCCACACACATTTGCCGTTGCCTCTTATCTCTCGGCATATTGAAGCATGTCTGAAGTGCCCAGGTGCCAAAATCCTTACAGGGGCGTCTCTGAGTCTTCACATCTCAAAAGTGAGAGACCTGGGGACGGAGCTGAGGAGCCATCCCCTTCCTCCTGCCAAAGGGTGGTCGCAGAGCCTCACAGAGGGAAGAAAGGGGTCACAGAGACCCCTGGGAATGCTATCTTGGGGCTGCATCTGGATGGGGGACAAGAGAGCCAACTTTCCTATGGTTTGAATGTTTCCAGACCGTAAGCAGTTGTCCCAGCGTCTACTAAAAACATACACAGCATCAGTCTGCCAGTAAGTTCCACCTGAACTTGTGGTCCTTCCAGCATGGACCCTGTGCCCCGCCAGTGCTGGGAAGCCCTGAAGGGAGAATGCAGGTCAGGGCTCCCTGGCCGACCAGGCTGAGTCCTCTCATGGCTCCAAAGGGTTGATATCTTATGAAATTGTCAGTAGCGTCATTTTAAAAACTCACTGTTTGAAGAATTGCATTATTAAAGTTCTCTGTAAAAAAGTACAAATAGCCCAGTATATTCAGTTGTTCTGTTGGAATTAACAAGTTAATTTCTTCCTTAAGATTAAGAAAAAGTCTTTGGAATTATGGGCTGGCAGGGTCACTGTAAGGCTGTTTGATGGCTCAGTGCGACCCACATGGTTATTAACTGACCCCTGATCACGTGAGTGAGAGGCACAGGGATGGTCACCGTTCATGCTTTTAACTCTGCCCCAGAATCCCTGACATCATGGGATTAATAAAACTGTGGCTGACACTCTTTCTAGATGACTGCCTTTACCCACATACAACTCAGATAACCTTTCCTGATTTTCTGGACCTCCTAACAGCAGAAATACATAGCATTCCTGAGATTGGCTGCATCAGCTCAAATGGGAGACCACAGCATTGACTGTCCAGTATATTTCACAAAAATGTAGCCCAAGAAATGATTTTAAAAATATTTTCCAACCCTCCTTGTCCAACTTGTGTGTAGCCGCTAATAACCCAGTGCCCTCTTCCTTCCTGACAACTGTCACACCTGCTGCCTTCCCTGTAACTCTCACGGCCACGTCCGTCAGGCTCACTCCACCTCTGATGATGACTGTTGGGTATGCTCAGCGGGGAGCAGGTGCTCCTGCCCTTGCTGGATCTCAAAGAAACAGGAAACAGTGTGATCTGTACACAAAAGAGGTAGCCGACTTCAGAAGACCAAGGTGAGAAAATGACTGTCAGATGGTGTTGCTGTTCTGAGGCTTGTAAAAACATAAGACTCTCACTTCCCCTCATCAGTAATGAGAAAACAAACCCTAGCAAAAAAAAACAACAAAAAACAAACCAACTCTGATTTCTCCTGCTAAATGGAGCCAGGGAGGGACAGCAGTCTGTTAGAGGTTCCTGTGACTTCTCCATCCTTTCCCAGCTGCTATAATTCTCAGCAGGAGCCACAGGGGAAAATGGGGCTGGAACTCACCAGCCTTGGCTCTGCCCAGAGCATGTGAGCTATTTCAAGGGAGGGAGGGAGGGAGAGAGGGGGAGGGGCTTCTCCCAGCAGGTGTGGATGCTATTGGCATTTGGGGGGTGTTTTCTGAGAAGGAACAGACGGTGTCCCTAGCAAAACACACTCCTGAGGACCAGCAGACTGTTAACTTCCATCTGCGCCAACAACCTCTGACGGAAAGCCACGGAACACAGCAGCAGCTCTGGGTCCCTCCTGCCACCAAGCATCCTTCCGGGTGCGCTCACACCTGCCCTTCTCTGAGTTCTTCCTGGCCTACCACCCCGGCCTCTCCCTTCTCAGCATGCCAGTGGGTGGCTCTCTCAGGGTCTGCACCCTTGTCCTTGCAAGTCTGGACAACATTTGCTGGGCTGTATTTAATCTTGGTCTCTCATAATCTTTTCATCAAGCCATCTCAGGCCAAGTTTCCAAAGAGCCCTCAACATCCCGATTTCCTACCAGGACTCCCGATAAGAAAGCCTGACATATCTCCTTAGGAAAGGCTCTGCGTTAACCATAGCAGACTGGGGGGGCAGAAAGAGGAGTCTGAGCTCAGAAGTGACCAGGACGGCTCCTGCACCTTCCTGTCCACCTTTTGATATTAGTTCCCACCCAACATGGGCCTCCTATTAACCTGTGGACCACGCCTGGCCCCACACTCCAGTGCCTTCCTTTCAAAGCCAGCATCTGATGGCTTTGGGTGAGATGCCAAGAGATTGGCCACCAGCCCACTGGCCCGTGGCCTGGGAGAGAAGTTCTGCTGCAGAGCAGCCTCAAAGGAGACTTGGATTGTGCTAGATTCTGCCGGGTGGCCTCAGCAGCACAGGCAGTGCTCAGGGGCAGGGGCTTCCAAAAGGGCCCCGGGGACTTGCCCCTTCACAAAGTCCTCCTTTGCCAGCCCCTCCATGCTGCTGCTGCTGCACCCCCCAAACGGTGGCCTCTGCCTGCTGTCTTGTTTCACACAGCGCCTATGAGGGGACAGCACCAGAGAATTGTATAAGCTGATGCTGTGGGAAGCAGGCGTGTGAGGGACCCACATTAGTCCCCCTGGCAGTCACTGTCTCGGGCTGCTCAGATCTTTAAAGCATTGGTCTCTGCTTAAGTCCCTCACCCAGCACTGTCTCACCCGGGCTGCCCCCTGACTTCTACTGTTTCCCCTGGGTTTGTTCTCACATTTGCTGTCCCTCAGACAGCATGCTGGGTCCCGTGGCCAGGGCACTATCTCTGAGAACTTTGTCACACACTCTGAAAGAATACAAGCTAGCCAGGGCAGCAACCGTTTCTGAGAGAAATAGGGATCTGGAAGTGTGTGCTGGCTGAGCCTGAGCCTGCTGCTTGCTAGGAACTGGCAGGTGACAGGCGGGGGGGGGGG